GGACGAATTCCCTGGCGTCTTTCTCCATGCTGTTCTAATAGTAGCCCGCTCGGATCACTTTTCGGACTAAGGAATCGACCCCGGAATGATTTCCGCAGGTGCCCTCGTGGATCTCTCGAAGCACGTATTCCGTGTCGCCCGGTCCCAAGCATATCGCCAGGGGACCATCGAAAGTTCTTCTGTAAAGGGCCCCGTTTTCGTCAAGTGAGAATCGGTCCACTTTGGTTCGCAGGGCCCTTGACTCTTTTGGGTCTGTGGGCAGTTTTCCGCCTTTCAGATAAGCGATGTATTTGTTTCTCCAGTCCCATGTCAGGCTGGCAGAGTTAATTTCCGCGTGACCTTCCTCGGCCACAGATTTGAACAGTTGAACAACGATTCCGGGGAGCAGGTCTTCTTCTTCGGCGGAAGATCCCAAGTTTGCGAGGGCATCAGCCTCGCAATTTTGCTCTCCGGGTATGTGTATTAAGGTCCATTCTTTGAAACGACACAACGCGATTTGGATTTTGTCTAAATACCATTGCATCCTGTCTTCTCGAGCTTCGTAGCTTCCATTTACTTGGCTTACCACGAGGAGCGAGTCGCATTTTTCCTCGACGATCTCGGCTCCCAAACCTTTGGCCAACTCTAGACCTGCAATCATAGCCTCATATTCGGCTTCATTGTTAGTCAGTTTCATGGTTTTTATGGATTGTCTGATTATGCCGCCAACGGGCGGCCTCAGGACTATACCGAGTCCGGAATCTCTTACATTTATGGCACCATCTGTGAACAGGGTCCATACCCCGGAGGAAGTGCCTGATTTAATAAAAGCTCTTTCTCTACCTCGGGCACGAGGTCTGGCGAGAAGTCGGCCACGAAATCTGCCAGGATTTGGGACTTAATGGCAGTCCGAGGTTGATACTCGATGTCATGCCACCCGAGTTTGCTGGCCCATTTGGCCAATCGACCTGATAGCTTAGGTTTATGCAGTATACTCTGGAGGGGATAAGTTATCAGGACGCAGATACGGTGGCACTGAAAATAAGGCTTCAGCTTGCGCGAGGCGGTTATTAGTGCGAGAGCTAGTTTTTCTAGATGGGGGTACCGGGTTTCGGCGTCCCCCAAGGTGCGGCTTTCGTAATAAATAGGAAATTGCGTACCTTGCTCTTCTCGGACCAATACGCCGCTTACTGCTATTTCAGATACAGCTAGGTACAGGTATAGTGTTTCACCCTCCTCGGGCGTGCGCAGCAAAGGCGGGGTGGACATGTATCGTTTCAGTTCCTCTAGGGCGTGTTGGCATTCTGAAGTCCACTCGAAGTTGTTTTTCTTTTTAAGCAGGGCGAAGAAATGGTGGCTTTTGTCTAACGATCTTGATATGAATCTGCCTAGGGCCGCGATCCGCCCCGTTAATCGTTGGACGGCTTTTACGTTGTTTACCGCCGTAATCTCTTCGATGGACTTTATTTTATCGGAATTGATTTCGATCCCCCTGTTCGAGACCATGATGCCTAGGAATTTGCCCGAGCCTACTCCAAAGGCGCATTTCTCAGGATTGAGCATCATGTTGTAGCTTCTAAGGATGTCAAAGGTTTCATGCAAATGGGTCAAATGGTCCTCTGCGCGCAGGGATTTTACTAACATATCATAAATATATACCTCCATTGATTTTCCTACCTGGTGCTCGAACATTTTGTTAACTAGCCGTTGGTACGTTGCTCCCGCATTTTTTAGCCCGAAGGGTATTATGTTGTAACAATATGTTCCGTATTTTGTGATAAACGAGGTTTTTTCCCTATCTTCGGGGTTCATCTGGATCTGATTATACCCCGAGTAGGCATCGAAAAATGTGAGGGTCTCGTGGCCGGCCGTAGCATCGATCAAGTGATCGATATTGGGCAGTGGGAAGGAATCTTTTGGGCACGCCTCTTTCAAGTCTTTATAGTCTACGCACATTCTTAGCTTATTCCCTTTTTTTGGTACCACTACTACGTTTGCCAGCCATTCGGGATACTTTACCTCATTGATGGATCCAATTTTAAGGAGTTTCGCCACTTCCTCTTTGATGAAGGCATGTTTCACCTCGGACTGCGGTCTCCTTTTTTGCTTCACGGGTTTGAACTTGGGGTCAACGCTTAATCTGTGGGAAGTTATCTACGGTGGGATACCTGTCATATCTAAATGGGACCAAGCGAAGCAATCGATATTATTACTGAGGAATTGAATAAATTCTGCCCTGAGTTCGGGGGTCAGCCCCGTACCCAAGTATACCTTGCGATCCGGGAGGTGTTTGATCAAAACGGTTTTCTCCAACACCTCGACTGTTGACTTGGTTGCGTCGGACTCTTCGCGAGCGACGAAAGTCCGGGGTGTGAAGAAGTCTTCCTCGTCGTCTTCAAGGGTCTGCGCGCTTCCCTCCCCGTCCAAGGCCGGGTATGCGGGAATTGTCGTCTCGTGGTGGACTACGAAAATTTCCCTCCGTACTTGCCGTTCCCCATATATGGTCGTGATACCGCCCCTGGTAGGAAACCTTATTACCTGGTGCAAGGTCGAGGGCACGGCCCTTATGTTGTGTATCCAAGGTCTGCCAAGTAGGGCGTTGTATTTCATGTCACCGTTGATGACTTGAAACTCGGTGTTATGGGTCGTGCCGGACATGCCTATCGAGATAATGATTTCTCCCTTTGTTTCCTCTCCAACCATGTTGAAACCGTGGAGGACCCGAGAGGTGGGGATGACTTGATTGAGCAATCCTAGCTGTCCTACTACTTCTGACCTGATTATGTTGACCGAGCTACCTGGGTCCACGAGCACACGCTTTATTCTGGTGTTGTTTGAGAGAAACGAGATGACTAGAGCATCGTTGTGCGGTTCCATCGTAGCCTCGAGGTCCTCCTCGCTGAATACGAGGATTTCTTCACACGGGCACTCCCGGGCCGATCCTTCCTCTGTAGAGGGTGTCCTTGCTCGTTTGAAGACGCGCCCTCGGGGGACGTCGGCTCCCCTAATAATCATATGGACGTCGGCTTCTTGGTCGGCGTGAGAAGTTTCGCTGACTTGCTTTGCGTCCTGTGAGCCCGCGTTCGCTAGTACTAGTCCAGGTGTGTTATCGGGATTCTGTAGTAGTGCTCCGGCGGCCGGGATAGCTACACCATTTTCCCCGTGATCTTCGAGGCAGTCGTTCTCAACTCTGTTTACTGAGCCAGACATTTTTACCTGAAATCAAAGGATCTTGGACAAGAAAAAGTGTGAAAGATGATATGCGCTTGTGTAATGAAACTAGCAAGAAAATAATCACTATTATTTTTAGCCCAATGGTGGGCGCCAAACTGTTTACCGTGAAAATGGTAACGACAATTAAATTTGTAAAATGGGACTCTAAAAATACGTGATCTATTCTTGAGCTAGTTGTTAGAGCAGATGATGCTAATAAGATGTAATTTAACGATGGAGCGTGAGTCAAAACGAGATAATGATCGAACCGGAGGGCCTGCTACCTGGATGTAGGTTTGGTCGATGGGGGCTTCGGGGTTGACCTCAAGATTGAGCTCGGTCTATCGGGGAAAATTGAGGGTAGTATAGCAGTTAGAGATACGATCAAATAAAGCTCTTTATAGCCGAAACTAAATTATACGATGAAGAACACATATAAAAATGGAGAGCACATATAAAGGCGAAGGATATCGAGGTATCCTCGGATCAGTGGGAGCCAATAAGTTTTTAGTAAGAAGAGAAAGAGAGAGAGTGATATTATTGCACTTGTGGAGAAATGGAGTAGCATTTAGGTACTTGATTTTCATCTCGATTGGAGGTACAACCCTGAGTTATGGGTGTGTGAAGAATCTTTTCATGTGTTCTAGTTGGGAGTGACGTAAATTTCATATTACGGTATGAGTTCAGACTCAGGAGGATTAAGTGACTGCGTAATGTTTATGACCATGGAAGCTATACAGAAACGTTAGTTTGAGGCAAACAGGTGGGGTTATCTCCTACGGAGTGTTCTGAGGTTGTGTGATCCTTATGTTGTCTGTTAGAAGATCTCATTCACAAGTGAAATATATGTGTTGAAATTTAAACTTGGGTCGCTTAAAAGAGTGGGGTTCAACTGTTACGAGGGTGAATGCGAGATTTGCATAAGATTTAAAGTACTAGATGGTCTGTGTATCACGAGCTTATGAAGGATTGAGTTTAATCACACTATGGTATATAGGTAGCAATAAAGTATATGCATTATGAGTTATTGTGTGTGTTTTGATCTATGACTTCGAGCCAAGTGGGGGAGTCTGCTATTGATTGGCTGATTGCACGGTTATGTGCTATGTTGGTTCCAGTTTGAGGCGTGCTGGTGAATCAGTTATGGTTTGCGGAGATTGAGCCCGAGGATGGCTCGAGTAAAGGAAAAAATTTCGACTAAGGTAAGGTTATATCATGCTTCATAGGTGTTTGAGAATCACGGAATGTCTTGAGTTGTTGTTGATAAAGAATGCTCAGTGCATAGGAAAGGAAAGTGGCATGGTTGCATCAAGGTAAGGTTATATGCTGCAGTGTCAGAAGTGCTAATGAGGCGCAGGTTGTTTGGTTCTTTTGATCGGGCTAATTGCAGTTTGGGTAGAGTGGATGACTAGAGAGAATGGTTCTAATGAGTTCTGGGTTTTACATGTAACAATTGGAGATTTTCAGGTGTATAATTTGGCTAGAAACTGAGGTTTTTTCATTTGGAGGGTGTCAAGACTTGAGTCATTTCTATATCAATTATGGGATTCTATACATCAGCATTAGGAAGGTAATGTCTTCAGGTTCGCAGGAAGT